ATAGGTTCTCTCCAATGAGAATATGGCATGTACCAAATTTCATATTCAGAAAAATTGTATTAAAAAAATTAAAAATAAAATACTTTGAGATGTCAGATCTAAGATCAAACGGTGAGTGGCTTTCTTCATAAAAAATAGATGGTTGGATGGTAAGGGGCGGATAGTTGTAGGAGGAACATAGAAAGCTTTTTCAAATGTTATTAGGATTATCTCAAAATTTATTTTTATATCTAATTATAAAACTTTAAATTTCAAAATTAGTTAAAATCAAGTAGATCTATAAACAAAAATCTTAAAAATAGACAGTGTAGATAATATGTTGTAAAATGTATTATTTTTGAGATTTAAAATCTTTTTATTTTTTATAATCATACATCTCGATGTTTAGATGATCAATCAAAAAAAATTTCAACATTAAAACTATTTTTTTTGGATGGATTTATGAGGGGTACCAATAGTTCTACTTATCTTTATATAAATTTTTTGAGCAATGGTCTCACCACTTCCATTTTTTTAACCTAGCATAGTGGCGCGTATCACAGATTTATTAGGATCGGTATACGTATTCCAAAATTTAAATCAAAACGTGGTGGATAAACATCTCTCCATATTTTTTTCATGGGTTTGCATGTTTTTCCTTTTGGGATGAATTTCTATGAGGCTCAGGCTCTATGAAAACAAAATAAAGCCTCACATCAAATCTTCATATAGAAAACACTTTTAGTATCGGAAATTCTCATAAACGCTCTAAAATCAATTTTCAATAGTGAAAATAAAATTTAAAACTCAAAAAATAGTACAGATTTGTGGGATTTGTGAACACTTATTTTTAGGGCAAAATGGATGGACAAGATGATTTGTTGCAATACATATTATTTTTAGAACTTGAAATCATATTTGTTTTTCACAACCATAATGTTCAAACTGAAATGATCCATTTAAATGTTTTTTTAACGCTTGAATTGTAATTTTTGATATAATTACGAGGTGAGGCTTTACTTATTTGGATAGGGCTGCAGCCCTATCAAACCATTGGCCTTTTGAAAATGGGCGGAAACGAAATGAGGCGGCTTTCATTCATGTAGAAAACGGTAATATAGATACACTTTGGCAATACAAAGAGGCCAAAAAGAGTGTCAATTTAGCATTAATTACCATGGATAAGTGAGTTACCAAAAAAGCAAATGATAATAGGCAGCAACAGGCCCAGAAAGGAAAAGAAAAAGTTTATATAAGGGTTTCTTTGAGGAAAGAAAAAAAAAGAGGTTATATAAAGTTTAGAGCAAATGATTTTATGCAACAGTTGTATCATAGATAGATGTAACTACATTTATAGAAAATTATGTTTAATAAATTATGTTTTTGGTATTTATATGACTCTAAATTTTGTACACTCATTCTCTTCATCCTCATAATCAATTTTATGCAAAAAAAAAAAATCAATTTGCACCCTAGATATTGTCAAAATTAATACCCTCCAACAATGAATCTCGACCGTCTTTTCGATGAATTTCAAGATCTAGGCCTTGACAACTTCAAAATCACTTTTTTCTTTTTTTAGTGTTGTTGATGATAACACTATATAAAAATTTTGGAAATAAAAAAATTCTTTTGAGGCCTATATCTAACCTTCTAGCTAAAATGGACTGCTTATATTAATTGGGTTAGAAAAGCATTTTTTAGGAAGTTTTTTTCTAAATTTTATTTTTAGCGGTTATTCTTTAGAATGAAAAGAGTATATATCTAAAACAATTGTGTCAAACAAATATCTCTAATATGGTTTTTTAATGTGGTTGCATTATATTATGATACATCCGTCGCATGAAATCATTGCTTTAAAGTTTAACCTTAATGTCAAATTAAGGTTGCATCTCAAAAATCCATTGGAAAATATTGTTTTAATGTTGAAAAACCCTCTAATTGATCATCGAGATATATGAATATGAAAAAAAAAAAAAGATTTTGACTCTCATAATGCACTTGCAACACATTATCCAAACCACCTATTTTTAAGATTTTGATATATTTATAGATCTACTTGATTTGAACTATTTTTGAAGTTTATAATTTTATAATTCCAATTGGAAATAGATTTTCAGGTAATCCCAAAAATTTTTTACAACAAAATTACATCTTATAATAAAATTTGGAGGTGCGTTTTAATTGGATTGGTTAAAGTTGCAACCTTATGCAAACCACACTCGGTAGGAAAAAAAGGGTATTGGAAAATTATTTTAGTGTTGAAATGAATCATGCTTACCGTTTACATTCATGATTAGAATATCGCTTGGTAAGCCTCAAAATTAAGATGTATGTTGATTTAATATGAATAAATCAAATCAAATCAAATCATTTGAAGTTTTTACAATCTAGTGATTCTTAGATGGTTCTCAAAATTTTATAGTGAAATATTTCTCTCTTCCGGTAGAGGAAGGAGGTATACAATATATACTCTTCCTGGAATATAGTATAAGTACTCTAGCAATAATACTTTTAAGAAATTAAAAATAACAATTTATTCAAATATCTAAGGGAGATGAACTATTAAATATTTTATAATTTTTTTTATGGAATTGTATACAATGAGACAATTTAACTTTTGATGCAAAGTGGTCGCGATTACTTACAAACCAGCTTATGTAAAATTTGATAACTTAGATGTGTCATAAAGTTCAAAAAAACATCATTTGAAGTTTGAACTTGATCAATAGAATAATCATAGCCACTTAATTTCACATCCACTAGTCATATAACCATCTTGTATTGTATTTAAGGTAAATGATCTCTTTCTATATATTTTTTAAATTTAATTTTAAAATAACAATAGAAAAACAGATATTTATGGGTTGAATTAATTGTAAAAATGGATAAAATGTTAAGAGTCCTCAAAAAAATAGTAATACATCAACACAGATACATCTTCTAGCTGGTTCTTGAAATAGAAAAATAGACGAAATTATCCCTATTCAAACCATTCAAAAGTGGGAATTCGCACCACGAATGACTGATGCATGTATGGCTTGACTTCTTTTTGGCTTTTTCTTTTTTCCAATCCGTCATTTATGGGCCTTGGAGAGGGGCAAGCCTCATTAGTTTACATAAGAAAACAAAATAGAAATCGTTTATATGGATAATCACCCGGTTTATGTGAATTAGAAACACATGTGGATTTGGAAAAATATCTTTATGTATTTTATTTTTGGGTTTCATTTATTGCTAAATCCGAAAATTTAAAAGATATATTTTAACCCTTTGACCAGTTTAAATTTAGTTTTTAATATAAATAAATATGAAAAAAAACATGCTCTTTTTAAACCCAATTCTTTCTCTTTCTTAAGTTATATATACGGAACTTCTCTTTTTTTCTTTTTTTTTGTCTCTCACTCTTGCTTTTCTCATGTGTTTTTTCAAAACACCTTTTTCTCTTCTTCCGATAATCTCTCACCTCCATGAAGCCTTTTTTTCTCTCTAAAAGTTTGGGAGGATCGCTTTTAAAAAGTGCATGTCTTTTTAGATTTATTTGGCTTAAAAAAAGAGGTTTATATTAGCTCAGGAGGTTAGAAGAAATAAAATCTATAATATTTATACTCCAATATATCTTTTAAAATTTTGGGTGTATTACGAAATGAAACTTACAGTCAGATATATAGAAATATTTGTCTTAAAAAATATGGTTCGAGGAACTATATGTGCAGTAATCAGACATAAATTTATACCCACTCTTTAAAATTGGGTAACTTCAACCCTATTGACAACTATTTATAAGTTGTTTCTTGGTCTACATCTTTTATCTCAAGTTTTGAATCGGATTAATCTATTGATACAAATAGTTCATGGTTAAAATTTGGTTATTTGGGTCTCGAAGGACTGAAAGGGTGACAAATGATTAGTTTTTGCATATGGGAGGGATATCGATCCTAGACGATACGGACGTAATTGCCCAATTGACACGTTGAAAGGTGTCAATGATGCCTATTTGTCCAATTGACACGTACGAAGGTGTCACTGTTGACGATTTGCCCAATTGACACGTCTGGTGTCAATGTTGGACTTATTGGATCTACGGTCCTAGTTATCTATTTTCGTGACGATTTGAAAATCTATTTTTTCTTTAAAATTATGAAAATTAAAAGGGTGTGGTCCTAGTTATCTATTTTCCTGATGATCTATTTTTTCTTTAAAATTATGAAAATTAAAAGGGTGTGGTCCTAGTTATCTATTTTCATGATGATTTGAAAATCTATTTTTTCTTCAAAATTATGAAAATTAAAAGGGTTAGGTTTGTATATAACTGAGGCTCTAAACCATCAAATTTGAGCCCACTTTCAAATAGTATCGAAAAATGTGGTTTCAATATTAGAAATAGCCTTAAAATATATTTTCACCTTTAATTATAAATTTAAAGCATTAAAATTAGTGTAGATCAAACATATCTATGAAAACTTGAATAGCTTAAAAATTGATGGCCCAAAATTGCGTTACAAAATGCACTATTTTCAAAACTTGAAATTCATTTTTTTCTAAAGTCCATGCATCTGGATGTCGATGATGATCAATTTGAAGATATTTAAGCATCAAAATAACTTATTCTAGTGAAATTTGTTAGGTAAGGTCTAATCTGATTGTTTAGAGCTTAGGCTCTATATAAACTTTTTCCAAATTAAAATGTCAAAATTTTATAAATAGAGCGGTTCTTTAAACACTTTGAAATGTTTGAAAATAAATGGTCTAAATAGCATGTTATAAGATGCTTTATTTTAAAATTTGAAATATTTTTTTTTTTATATTCACACATCTCGAAGTTGAGGTAATCAAATTTGAAAATTATCTAAAGTCGGCATACTCTTTTCTAAACAACTTTTTAAAGCGCACGTTGTTACAAGATTGCAACTTTTTATAAACTTCTTCCTCTAAAAAAAAATTAAAAAATGACCTACTCTTTCGTCATTTAAAGGTTAGAACCTTAAATAATCAAAATAAGGTGCACCCCTATCATGTAATACAATTTTAGTGTTGAAATTTTTTTAAAACAATATGAAAATCTGCGACGCCAGCAGTGACATCCAAGCTAATCCACACAAGGACAATCAACAGCCCAGATCATAACCTTCGTTTCATTCCTGGCCGTCCATTCTCCGTATTAAAGTGTGGATCCGCGCCTCCACCGGCCCTCGACATTTTAGAAGCTCCTGGAAGGCCATCTCATAATCCTATAAGTACTCTCTTCCGCTCTCTGAAAACCCATCAGCACAGTTCCTTTTTTAGAGAGAGAAAGCTAGCTGTGGGTTTTTAGGAGTTTTTTTTTAGAGAGGGAAGGAAATGGGGGGCGAGGTGGTTCTGCTGGATTTCTGGGCAAGCCCTTTCGGCATGAGAGCGAGGATTGCCCTTGCAGAGAAAGGCGTGAAATACGAGTACAGAGAGGAGAACCTGGCTAATAAGGGTGAGCTATTGTTGAAGAGTAACCCTGTTTACAAGAAGATCCCTGTGCTTATTCATGACGGTAAGAGTTTATCAGAGTCTTTGATAATAGTGCAGTACATTGATGAGGTCTGGAAGAACCCGCCATTGTTGCCTGAAGACGCATATGAGCGAGCTGTTGCCAGGTTCTGGGCTGATTTTGCTGACAAGAAGGTCAGCTTGTTCTCTCTCTCTCTCGATTCTTTCCTTTTCGTTTTGGATTTTTTTTAAACCTAAGTTGGGCTCACGCTCTCTAGTCCCTTTAAGATGGAGGAGGAAAGGGGAGAGATGAATGCTCTATTTCTCTTGTCATTTAAGATGTAGAGGAAACGGTAGAGATGAATGCTCTCTCTCTTTCTCTCTCTCTCTTCTTCCGCTCGCTAGATTCGTTCTCTCTCTCTCTCCCGTTTTTCCCTCTCTAGATTCGTGTTCTCTCTCTCTCTCTATAGTTCTTTAGGATGTTGAGGAAAGGGGGGAGAAGAAAGCTGCGTGTGTGGTACTTGGTACAGCATGGGATGTCTTCTGCAACGTTCTGATGATGAATGGCGGAGCTCATCCTTGGATCCTGATCGTAGATTTTCCCATGGGTACGGTTACTCTTGATCGTCCCTTTTCGTGAATGGATGATGCGTGCTCCCGTTGTGCCCACTGTTCGCAAAACCGGCCGGTTAGCTCGGAGTTTTACTGTTCTACTGTGTAGATCTATCTACTCGAAAACATTCCTGAGCAAAACCCGCCGGTATATAGTTGAACGGCTCGAATTTGTTGTAAAACCGGACTGTTTTTGGCAAAAGCGGACCGGCTTTAGAAGAAACCGTTTTTAACGTTATAACGGGAGTTGTAACAGTCTTATATAACATGTTTCTGTTATTTGACACAGAGCCCATTGCCTTTTGCAGAACTCACGGGTTTTTTTTGGTTCAAGATTCGATTTGATTTTGCGAACTTTATCACCCTTTTCAGGATTTTACAGAGAATTATTGCACGAAATTATTGATGTTACTCTATAAACTGGTCGATTTGGGATAAGAACCCCACCGAATTTCAAGTTTTCCTGGGCGTTATTTATTTGTTCTTCATTAGTTTGATGAAAATCCGCCAATCTACAGATATTGGAGTCGTTGATTTATTTTATTTTATTTTTATCAAAATGGGGGGCTTTTGTAGATGAAAGAGATAGTCGGACTACTGCACTCCTGATTTCATCAAAATTCAGAGATTTAGGGCTCGAAATTGAAATTCCTTTACGGTTATTTGGGTGTTCTTAAAAGTTTCATGAAATATCTGCCAATCTAAAGATTTTAGCCAGGTTTTTTATTTTTAGATCAAAATAGGGGGTTTTTGTTGATCACAGCGATATCCAGATTATTAGATTGGTTATTTCATCGGGCTTGATTTTGAGATTAGAGCTTCATTTGGGTTTGGGTTGGAAGAAAACAAGATAAGCTCCAACTCAAGATCTTTTTTAAAGAGAACGGATTTGAGAACAAAAGCTTTGGGGTTTGATCTTAGGGGTTTTTGCGATATCGATTTTTTTTTAAATTAAAAAAAATATTTCGCTTAATAAAACTAAAATCGATTCTTATGTTTTTAATGTTAAAAGAAAATAAATGCATGATATAGTGCATGCCATATTTAATCTATGTATATGCTATATTTAATCTATGTACAAAAGTACTCTCGTCTCTCTCATCATTACTTGCCGGAATTCGTAACTCGTCACTCTCACTATTACTCGCCGGAATTCGTAACTCGTCACTCTCATTATTACTTGCCTTGCCGTTGGTATTTGGAACTTGTAACTCCATGATGAATTAATGTCCAGGTATAAGTTGTCTTACGTAGCTATTAATGGTTTCAATATTTTTTTGGTAAGATAAATGAAGACGATAAGGAAGTATGCATTTGATCTATTTTTTTAGTTTATTTTTATTTTTATTTTTTTGAGGTTTTGACCAAAAAATAAAAAAATCTATTGGAGTGGTTAGTCTGCAACTGCACCTGATAGTAAGATATTGGCGGTGAGAGAGAATATTATCGGGTATATGATATTAGTGCCATTTAATCGCATGTGGTCTCAAACGTTGATACTTTTGTGGTGGTCCTCTGCAGCTGTACGACAGCGGGACCAAGATATGGAAAAGCAAGGGCGAGGCTCAGGCCTCGGCGGTGAAAGAATTCATTGAAAACCTGAAGATCTTGGAGGGCGCCTTGGGTGACGAGCCCTTCTTTGGAGGGGAAAAATTAGGGTTTGTGGACGTTATGGTGGTGCCTTTTGTTTGCTGGTTCCATGCGTACGAGGTCCATGGTGGATTCAGTGTTGCAGCTGAATGCCCCAAAATTGATGCTTGGGCCAAGCGTTGCATGGAGAGGGAGAGTGTTTCCAAGGCTTTGCAGGACCCTGAGAAGATCCTGGAGTTTGTGGGGTTTCTCAAGAAGAAATATGGGGTTGAGTAGAGAGAGAGAGAGACAGAGTGGTTGCATGCGACTTTTAGTAATATAATGGCAGCAACGTCACGTCGTGTTGTGTTGTGGGAAAGGTTTCTGAGAGAGAGAGAGTCGGTAGGTAAGAGTGTGAGGACAATGTGTTTACTCTTAGTTTTTTTTGGGAAAGGTTTTAGAGAGATATGAATATCGATGCGAAGTTGTAGTACTTTGATGCGTTTTCTGTAACGCCTAGTAGCTTTATGAAACCAAAGGGGTTCCATCTGTCTGGGACTTGGAACTTTGTATTCGAAGATGCGCTTTATCTTTGATTATTCTATACAAACTTAATTTGATTGATACTACTGTAACTCTATGAAAACATTTTCCTATTGGAGTACATTGTGAGGTTTAGTAGAGAGAGAGAGAGAGATAGATACTTTATATTTTATTGCTTGGAAAGTGAGCGTATCGGTTTTAGAGAGAGAGAGAGATAGATACCTTATATTATATGGCTTGGAAAAGGAGGTGTATCTGTTTTAGTGGATCACTCTGTAACAAGTGCATAGGTCAGATCCAAAGAAATTATAAAAAGCATTTGGCGCATATAAAAGTGTGGTTAATTGAAATCAAAGGATTTAGTAGTGAGCAAATTTGTCCTCACTTGTGGAATTCCAAGACATGAAAACAGTGCAGTGCAGCTTTGGAGAATCTCGATACACTTTCACATGAGTGTTTTCCTTCCACACGTAAAAATTCATTTATCGTTGGGGTCCAAATGGAAATGTTTTCCACACGTAAAATGTACAAAGTTTAAAAAATCTACAAGAAATGTGATGTTATCCAAGAAGCGACACATCTTTTGCCCAGGATCCAAGCCATTTATATTGAGACAGAGAGAGAAAGGAGAGGGAAGTGCAATCTCTCTCCCTGTCGCGCATGAGAAAAAGACGTTTAACAAAAAAATATTGAAAAAGTATGCAAAAGATATTTTAATTTTTTTGTGCTAGGAAATTGCAATTACTAGGAATTCAAATAAGATAGTTGTAAAGAGTATCATTTGATTAGACCCAAAATACGAAAAAAATATCCAACTTTATGAAATATCTCAAGCCATCGAATTTAACAGGAGTAATTGTAACTCCTTGTAACAAAGTACAAGTAATTGTAACTCCTTGTAACAAAGTATTGTCATAAAGTATGTGTGAAATTTACGCTTTCTAGTTAATATTAGATCACGTAGAATGTCGTAGCCTAATTTTTTAAAATAAAGTTGTTATCTTATATAGGCGACAACATTGTTTTAAAAAGAAATTATACCAACTCTATGAAAATTTTATTTTTTTAGGATATGAAGGTAACGGAAAAATCTATGAGAAAATGTGAAGTTATGAGACTTGTCAATTTTTTATTTTTTATTTATTTTTTTTGACTATGTTACAAAATTTTATTACTGAACAAAGATTACCTCTCACGGGATCTTACAGTCATATATTGTAACAATGTTTTAAAATTCAGATTGGTGAGGTAAACTGTCCACCCTATATAAGTCTATGCAGTGTTAACCAGCTATTTTCGTTATGTTGAATAAGTAATTCAGAAAATAATAAAAATATGAAAAATTAAAATAGGGTTTAGATATTGGGGATTTAATGCGGATCTAAAACAATACTGATTGTATATATGAGATTATTTACTTTAAGTACAAGAAAGTCATAATCACCTTAACCAGTGGATGTGAAATCTAATAGATTCAAATGTATCACAATATTTTATAATTTTATTTTAGACTTTGTATTCGATCAATAATACAGCCCTAATCATCAATTTTACATCTATTGACATCCTTATATTAAATCCATTTCCAAAAAAATATTAAATGAGACTACAAACAAGATAAAGAATATAAAGGGGGAGTAGGGTCGAGACCTACTCCTTTTCGAAACCGATTTGGTCCTGGTTGGTTCTTAATTTGGATCGATCATTCTCGATCCGCATCACAAGGTTTTAAAGCATTGTATTGAAGGAACTAGGCCTATTCGAAATAATCCGGACTGACAAGTTGCCGTGATGTGATAATATCTTATATTAGATTAAACTCTAAAATATTCCTACCAAAACATCTTCTTGAAGCTTTCAACTAATCTAATTGATGTTTGGGAATATATGTTATAGAATGCTAAAAAATATTATCTTATAATTTATGTTGAGAGAGAGGGAGAAGAGAGAGAGATTGCAAATATGAGAAAAGGAGGATAAAAAAAAAAGAATATTACAAATGGCATTGGATGTCCATTCAATTACAGGGTGCTCCTGTCTGATCACTTGAATTGGAGCTCCACTTGTGTAAAAAATCAAAAGTTTAGTGTGGAGCCACTTTAGTAAAGAAAAATTTATCAAAATTTAATATAACAGATGAATTATTCGATATTTTACCGATACTTATTGACTTCATTTAAAAATTTCATCAAACTTCAAAATATGTTTGATCGTGAGTTGAAATAATTGAAATATCATATACTATATTGTTGATAAATGAGATTTTTCTTTTTTAGAGAAGGGGTCTCTTACCTCTTAATAGCAATGGAATACTAGAGGTCATATTGCGGTGCCCCATTACCCTGACTACCCTACCCTAAGCCCATTCCCAAAAAAAAAAATTTGAACAATCCTTAAAATCAGATGATTTTAAGTTTGATTTAGTATAGAATTTCAGGAGTTCTCTAAGCACACTTGTTTTTTTGCCTGCTGAAATGGATGGTATATCTTCTTGAGGTGTGGTTTGTATAAGACCGAGGCCCTAAGGGACACCTTCAAATAGAGTTGAAAGATATTGTTTCAATACTGAAAATCTTTGTAATGGCTTGAAATTTTATTTTCATTTCTAATCATAAAATTTAAAACTTAAAAAAATAGTGTAGATGAAGTAGATCTATAAACACTTAAAAAACTTGAAAATTGACGGTCCGAAAATGCGTTACAAGATGCACTACTTCTAATATT